TGACTTCTCTTGCTCTTCCTTTATTCCTGATACTCTTAAGTGTCCTTCTGCTATCATTTTGCTTCCCTCTGAAGAATTTCCTTTAGAACAAACCTACTAAAAATGGATTCTCTTTTTCTTCACCTTAGAATGATTTTTATTTTACCTTCATATATGAAGGGTATTTTCACTGGATATAGAATTATGGGTTGAGAGTTCCCTTCTTTAATGCTTTTAACTGGCCTTCCTGTTTTCTGATGAAAAATCTATAGTCATTCAAAATGTTGGTTCTCTGTAAGTAATATGGTATTTTTCTCTGGCTGCTTTCAGGATTTTTCTTTGTCTTTCATTTTCAGAAATTTGATTATGATGTGTCTGAGCTTGAACCTTCTTGGATTTATCCTGTTTTGGGTTTGCTGAGGACTGAGAATGATACAAGCAGAAAGATTTCTGAGAAAGAGGCAAAGTGTTGCATAATTTAAATTCATGAATAACTGATCCACTTAAATGTTTCTATTTTACCTATTGACAAGTTAGAATATTCTTGGAAGGACACAAAATATAATAGTATATTAACCATTGTGAGTATTATTGCTTTTCAGTAGGGGACTTTTAAAATCCATACGTAACATAAATAAATATACTATTATTAATACATTGCTTGTATATTTAGGAATGTTATGTAGTCCTAAACCATAGAGAGAGGCAACCCTATAAAATCCCCTTAGAGATGTTCAAAACGTCCTTTAGGAATGGTTTTAGTCCTCACTTCACCTTTACAGTTTTTCTGGATACATTTATTTACAAGTAAGTTGTGTACTGGACCATATCCTCTGCCATCCAAGCAATTTTCCCATCACTGTTTAATATTGTGGCTAATCTTTTTCTACTGGAATGAGTTAGTGTTCATTCGAGGTTTTGTCTGGTGTTATCAGGTAGCCATCCTGATTATGTCAGCTCTTATACTCATGGATTTTATAACCTGATCATCCCATGTTTCTTTCTGGAATTTGGCAGGCCAGATTTTGTGTGTCTGTGATGGAATCTTTGACTTCTCCATGGATTTCTTATGATTTTATTGTTTTACTTGAAACCCTTGCATAGGACTTTTAGTAAAAGTAATGTTTTTATAACTATGTACTTTAAAGTAGTTCGATAGTATCTATAATATACGATACTAGCTTTAGAATCTTTTTTTTTTTACTGTGCATCTCTACCTTATTTTAGGTAGCATCAAGCCATCAAGTAGTTAATGTATTTGTTGTTTTTTAAAGGATATTTGAGGAACTTCCTTGCAGCATTTAAAGAAGTGAATTATTCCAAAAACAATTCAGCTATTAGTGTATGTATTTACTCTTTCATTTTAACGAGTTGCTCTATCTTAGAAGGCCACAGTTAAGTCATTTGACCAGTTTGGCTTCTGGTAAGAAATTGAATTTTATCAGCATGACTGAAGTGCCTGTTATGCATCAAGCCTGATGCATGTCACTTTTCATGTTTGATGTAAAACCCGTTAACAAACAGTAAAGTCGGGATTTGGTGCTAGAGAGTTCAAAGCCTTTGCTTTGGGCTTGGACACTCCGTGAATCATGGGAACACAGTCACGAGATTTTCTTCCAGTAGGTATGATTGTTGGAGTAAGAGTTTTGTACCAGAAGATGGTAATATGAAGTGGAGGAAGTAACAACATTTCATAATTATTCCACTAGTAGATGATTTAGGGTACTCTCATTTAGCAGTTGGGATTTACTACATATGGGAACATTAGGTATAAAGACCTAGTATAAACTCTGAAGGTGATTTGACTAATTTAGTTGAGGCCTGTGATTGCTCTGAGGCAAGGAGGGTGAGCCTTAGCTGCTGAATCAAAGCATAGGATTTAATAGGCAGTGGGTCTCTGGTGCCATGTTGTCAAGTTGATACCCCCAGAACACAGCTTAACTTTTTCATATTCCTTTTTTTAAAAATATTTATTTATTTATTATTTATTTGGCTATGCAGGGTCTTTGTTGCAGCACACAGGGTCTTTGTTGCAGCATGTGGGATCTTTAGTTGTAGCACTGCGGGATCTAGTTCCCTGACCAGGGATTGAACCTGGGCCCCCTGCATTGGGAGCACGAAGTCTTAACCACTGGACCGCCAGGGAAGTCCCAACTTTTTCATATTTCAAAAAGAAAGATTTATGATTATCTGGAAAGATTCCATCTAGATTCAGGACTCTGTAGATTTCTTCACCCAGAGAATTCTGGGAGCATGGCTTTTGGGGAGAGGGCAACTTATTGAATTACACACAGTATAGGTATTCTCATGTCTAGATCACCTATCATCTGATAATATATAGGAACTTTAGTGCATTTTATTTGGAAACGCATCCTATCTATTGTTTGTAGATGTCATTTTGTTACAAAGCATAAAGAGGTAGTCTTCTCATAGTAGTCCCAACAGTATCATTTAACAATATCCTAGGTTGGAACCTAGGACTGTCAGAGGTTCCTCATACTTGACTTGTTCTATTAAATCAAGATAAACTTTACTTCTCTCAGATCTTTTATAACTTTCTCTAGACTTTGTTTTTTTAATTTCTTTCACCATCTATTACAACCAGTTATTTTTACTATAAGACAAATATTTTTTTCTCTTTTTAATTATTTTTTCCCACAAATAACTTTAAAATTTTACTCTGAAGAATCTGGTGTTCTATAGTAGTGGGATTGATGGGAGTTATGGAGATATAGTAACTCCCACATAAATAGGAAAGCCATACTATTACCTATCTATAATTTTATTTTATTTTATTTTATTTTTGCAGTATGCGGGCCTCTCACTGTTGTGGCCTCTCCCGTTGCGGAGCACAGGCTCCTGACGCGCAGGCTCAGCGGCCATGGCTCACGGGCCCAGCCGCTCTGCGGCATGTGGGATCTTCCCAGACCTGGGCACAAACCCGTGTCCCCTGCATCGGCAGGCGGACTCTCAACCACTGCGCCACCAGGGAAGCCCCTATCTATAATTTTAGATTATTCCCCTTGGAAGTTTAGAGGAAGGGTAAGGCATTCTTGGAGACTAATGTCTCCCTTGGAGCAGCATCTTAGATAGATTTTGAATGGCTGTCCTTTTGTGTTGTAGCCAGTACGAGCCGTTGGTTCCTTTAATTGCCCTTTTGCTTGTATTTTGAAGTACGCTTATCTAAATCTCCTGGAAATTAGAGGACAAATCTTTTGGTTGTTTTATCTAGAGAGACAGAAATTGTATTAGTCTCCAGCTTAATTCTTAAGCTCTCTGGAAATGTCTAGTGATGAATATTTTCTAGATTGGCAGTTTTACATTTTAATTTATTTTGATTAAATCTTTTTATTCAGCTTTAAACCTGTTTATAATAACAGGACAGTATACCCTTTGCTTCAGCTGTTGGGTACAACCAAGAATACTGTTTGAATGTTTTTTCATCTTTATTTAGTTTACAATTTTGAATCTTTGCTATATAACCTTAAATGAAAGCCTGCTAAAATGGCCTGATGTGTTTTCTTTCCTTCTTTTAAAATGTTACACAGTTGGGTTATTTAAATCTCTTTTGTACTTACTGCATTTTTCTCTATCTGAGGGGCTAATAACTGAACTATAGTCCAGTGCAGTAGGATCTAACTGTCCTACATTCTGTAGCAAATTTCTGTCTTCCTAAACTTGATGAAAATCCTTCATTATAGCCCTTAACTTGGTTCTATACCTGAGTTTTAATTTAATATCTATAGACCTGGCTTCTGGCCTAGTAATTTTACCGTGTAATTTTATTTTTTGAGAAAATCTTGAAGAAAGGGTAGCTTATATAGAAAGTAAGGTGACACTTAGTAGAAAGAGAAAAATTCAAGAATGATAAGTTTCAGAAGGTTAAAGTTTTTGAGAGACATTATTTTAAGATTAAAATTTTGTTTTGAGATCTCAGCATACCAGTTGAAGGAACTCCAATAACTATTGGCTGCTTCATGTTTTGCCTTCTAATTTTTTGAGCTCCTTTTATGCATATTAATTATTGATTTTAACACCTCAGAAGTTTCCCACAATGGCCAGTGTTGTTCTAAGTTAAAACTTTCTTTGCCATTCAGTGCGGAAAGTGCAAGAGTTAGGATTATAATGCAATTTTATGTAAGAAGCCAAAGTTCCTCCAGAAGTTTGACACTTGAGAATAGCATGACACATAGAGGCCACTTTGGCTGGTCAGTAGTGTGCATTTGTGAATGGTGTCTCAGGTCACCTGACCAAGCAGAGGCTAGGAAGGGTCTATGGTCAGAGACCTGACAGTCATTGACTGCAGAATAAAGACTAATAGAGTGACCTTTTTCACAAATGACAAATGACTTGATAGGGTTTGCCCTTATGAAGAGCACAATTTCTGTATAACATAAAATGTATCCATTGGATGTGTACTTTTTTTCCCCACTATAAATTCAGGGTGTTTTAAATACATTCTGATTATGTCTGCAAATCATACATGTATGATCGCACACACACACATATATGTGTGTGTGTATATATATATATATGTATGTATGAAATTATATAATTTTATGTATTTATACTCATTGTATATTTTGTTTTGTTTTTGTTTTTTGCGGTACGTGGGCCTCTCACTGTTGTGGCCTCTCCCATTGCGGAGCACAGGCTCCGGACGCGCAGGCTCAGCAGCCATGGCTCATGGGCCCAGCCGCTCCGCAGCATGTGGGATCCTCCCAGACTGGGGCACGAAACTGTGCCCCCTGCATTGGCAGGCGGACTCTCAACCACTGCGCCACCAGGGAAGCCCCGCATTGTATTTTTTGAATATTATAAATTCACTTTTGAGTTTGTTCTACCTTAACAGAATCAAAACCACAGGTGTTCTTAGATGTTTTTTCTTCTGAGACAGTGAGCAATCCAGTAACAAATGTAGCTTAAGCATATCTGTGTTAATATGAAACTAAAATAAGATGCTATGCCAGCTTTGTTTTGAATCTTGATTTTCATTTTTAATTATACATATCCCTTTAGAAATGAGTTGCACAATTGAGAAGGCACTTGCTGATGCTAAAGCCCTTGTTGAAAGACTGAGAGATCACGACGATGCAGCAGAATCTCTGATTGAGCAAACCACAGCTCTCAACAAGCGAGTAGAAGCTATGAAGCAGGTTTGATGTTTTTCCTTGCTGATTCCATTTTAAAAAAGCAGTCATTGATATTTCTGTGTTGCTTGAATTGTAAACTTCTGCTTAATTAGTATTTTATTATTTTTCAATGTTCTTTAAAATTTTAAAGTAGCTTGACTTGTGTGTTTCAGTTTACTTTAGATTGAAATGTAATTTTGTCAAGTTCAACTGGCATGTATATATATATATATAGTCACTATACATTCTAAAACATATAGACTTGATCACTTTTCTGACAGTGATGCACATTTGAGTTTGGAAAATATATGAATTTTTTAGGTCTAGATACATTTGGCAAAGACCAGATAATATCTTTTACTATATAATTGACACATATTTTGCTCTGTCTCCTATTTTTATAATGTAGAAATATTTTTCTTTATAAGAGTATTTAGGTGACACTATTTAACAATAAAATAGTTTTTGAAAATGATGCAAAGCAATATCTGGTTTCCACCTTTTGCAGTTACTGCATTTGTACTTGCTACCTTATTTTTCATTTAATGCTGCCAGTTAAAGAAGAAATAAAAAGGGCTTCACTTCTTGTTATCCTTACTGTTGTATATAAGAACTTTCCAGTGAGCTACTATTTTAAGCCCTCTTTTGATAAAGAGTTTCAACTCTAAGAGAATTATAAAATCTCTGATTTTATGATGGAAATCACTGGAGGAAAATATATATTCATAGCTTACTCTCTAGAAATGCATCATCCCTTTTGTAAAAGGAAGCAACCCAGGGTTACTGCTTTTAACAAAGCTGCTGAAAATAGTGAAGGAAGTTTACTTATTTTGTTTTGCAACTCTGTTGCCCTAAACACATTACATACATCCCTGTCTACCTTGATTCATGCATTCCAGTTAACATATGTACCTGGTATTGAGTTGTAAAAAAGGGGGGTTGACAACCAGAGTTAAGAACCATACCATAAAGTTTACCCTTTTGAAGAGTGCAGTTCATTGGATTTTAGTATATTCACATGCTGTGCAACCATAATTACTATCTAGTTTGAGAACACTTCATTACCCCAAAAGCCCATATCCATTAGTAGCTACTCCCTAGGTCTCCCTTTCCCTGGCCGCTGGAAACTACAAATCTGTCTATCTCTATGGATTTGCCTATTTTAGACATTTCACATGAATGGAATCATACAGTATGTGGCTTTTTGTGACTTTTTTTAACGTAATGTTTTCAGGTTTCATCCATGTTGTAGCATGTATCAGTACTTGATTCCTTTTTATTGCTAAATAATATTCATTGTAAGGATACAGCACATTGTGTTTATCTGTTCATTGGTTGATGGACATTTGGATTGTTTCTATTTTTTGGCTATTATGTATAATACTGCTATGAATACTTGTTTGTAAGTTTCTATGTGGACATATGTTTTCAATTTTCTTGGGTATATACCTAGTTCAGTTAGAATGGATGGGTCTTATAACTCTATGTTTAACTTTTAGAGCGTCTGCCTGACTATTTTCCAGAGTAGGCACATCATTTTACATTCCCATGAACAGTATATGAGAGTGATTTCTCCACATCCTCTCCAGCACTTGTTATTACTTGCTTTTTGCTTAAGCTCATCCTAGTCATTGTGAAGTGGTATCTCCTTGTTACACTGAATTGTATTTCCTGAATGACTAATGATGTTAAGCATCTTTCATGTGTTTATTGGCCATTTGTGTATTTTCTTTAGAGAAATGTCTCTTCAAATCCTTTACCCATTTTTTTCCAGCTTTACTGAGATATACTTGACATACAACATTGTGTAACTTTTAAGGTGTACAATATATATTGATATATGTATATTTTGTGAAAAGATTACGTACCACAATGAGGTTAGTTAATACCTCCATCACCTCACATAATTACCGTTCGTGTGTGTGTGTGTGTGTGTGTGTGTGTGTGTGTGTATACATTTAAGATGTATTCTCTTGGCAACTTGCAAGTATATAATACAATATTGTTAACTCTAGACACCATGATGTACGTTACATCCTCAGAACTTACTTGTTTGCCCATTTTTTAATTGAGTTATTTTTCCTTTTATTGTTGAGTTGTAAGGGTTCTTTATCAAATATACATATATGTGTGTGTGTGTGTGTGTGTGTATCAGATACATATTTTCAAATATTTTCTCTTACATTTTAATAAAAATCTTTTCATTAGTATCAAGAAGAAATTCAAGAACTTAATGAAGTTGCAAGACATCGGCCACGGTCCACATTAGTTATGGGAATCCAGCAAGAAAACAGACAAATCAGAGAATTGCAACAAGAGAACAAAGGCAAGCTATATTATCACTGTGTGTAGCAAATCAAAAGAGAACTTTTATCTGCAACTGTACTATCAACTTGGGACCAATTACTATTTTTTAAAATGGGAAAATAGGGAATTCCCTGGTGGTCCAGCAGTTATGACTCCGCACTTTCACTGCCGTGGGCCCGGGTTCAGTACCTGCTTGGGGAACTAAGATTCCACAAGCTGTGCGACATGGTCAATAAATAATTTAATTAATTAAATAAAATGAGAAAATAGCCAGTTAAAGTTACTTTTTGACATTTCTAGTCCATTATGCCTAAATCGTAGTTATTGCTCTTTTTTTTTTAAACATCTTCATTGGAGTAAAATTGCTTTGCAGTGTTGTGTTAGTTTCTGCTGTATAACAGTGAATCAGCTATAAGTATACGTATAACTCCACATCCCCTCCCTCTTGCATCTCACTCCCACCTTCCCTATCCCACCCTGCTAGGTGGTCACAAAGCACTGAGCTGATCTCCCTCTGCTATGCAGCTCCTTCCTACTAACTATCTATTTTACATTTGGTAATGTATATATGTCATTGCCACTCTCTCACTCCATCCCAGCTTACCCTTCCCCCTCCCCATGTCCTCAAGTCCATCCTCTATGTCTGCGTCTTTATTCCTGTCCTGCTCCTAGGTTCGTTGGAACCATTTTTTTTTTTTTTTTAGATTCCATATATATCTGTTAGCATACGGTATTTGTTTTTCTCTTTCTGACTTACTTCACTCTGTATGACAGTCTCTAGGTCCATCCACTTCACTACGAATAGCTCAGTATCGTTTCTTTTTATGGCTGAGTATTATTGCATTGTATATATGTGCCACATCTTTATCCATTCCTCTGTTGATGGACATCTAGGCTGCTTCCATTGCCTGGCTATTGTAAACAGTGCTGCAGTGAACATTGGGGTGCATGTGTCTTTTTGAATTATGGTTTTCTCTGGGTATATGCCTAGTAGTGGGATTGCTGGGTCATATGGTAGTTCTATTTGTAGTTTTTTAAGGGACCTCCATACTGTTCTCCATAGTGGCTGTATCAATTTACATTCCCACCAACAGTGCAAGAGGGTTCCCTTTTCTCCACACCCTCTCCAGCATTTATTGTTTGTAGATTTTTTGATGATGGCCATTCTGACTGGTGTGAGGTGATAGCGTCCTTTCATGTGTTTGTTGACATCTGTATATATTCTTTGAAGAAATGCCTATTTAGGTCTTCTGCCCATTTTTGGATTGGGTTGTTTATTTTTTTAATATTGAGCTATGTGAACTGCTTGTACATTTTGGAGATTAATCCTTTGTCAGTTGCTTCATTTGCAAATATTTTCTCCCATTCTGAGGGTGGTCTTTTCATCTTGTTTATGGTTACCTTTGCTGTGCAAAAGCTTTTAAGTTTCATTAGGTCCCATTTGTTTATTTTTTTTTTTATTTCCATTTCTCTAGGAGTTGGGTCAAAAAGGATCTTGCTGTGATTTATGTCATAGAGTGTTCAGCCTATGTTTTCCTCTAAGAGTTTTATAGTGTCTGGCCTTACATTTAGGTCTTTAATCCATTTTGAGTTTATTTTTGTATATGGTGTTAGGGAGTGTTCTAATTTCATTCTTTTACGTGTAGCTGTCCAGTTTTCCCAGCACCACTTATTGAAGAGGCTGTCTTTTCTCCATTGTATATTCTGGCCTCCTTTATCAAAGATAAGGTGACCATATGTGCGTGAGTTTACCTCTTGGCTTTCTATCCTGTTGCATTGATCATTATTTCTGTTTTTGTGCCAGTACCATACTGTCTTCATTACTGTAGCTTTGTAGTATAGTCTGAAGTCCGGGAGCCTGATTCCTCCAGCTCCGTTTTTCTTTCTCAAGATTGCTTTGGCTCTTTGGGGTCTTTTGTGTTTCCATACAAATTGTGAAAATTTTTGTTCTGCTTCTGTGAAAAATGCCTTTGGTAGTTTGGTGGGGATTGCTTTGAATCTGTAGATAGCTTTGGGTAGTATAGTCATTTTCACAATATTGATTCTTCCAATCCAAGAACATGGTATATCTTTCCATCTGTTTGTATCATCTTTAATTTCTTTCATCAGTGTCTTATAGTTTAATGCATAGAGGTCTTTTGTCTCCTTAGGTAGGTTTAGTCCTAGGTATTTTATTCTCTTTCTTGCAATGGTGAATGGGAGTGTTTCCTTAATTTCTGTTTCAGATTTTTCATCATTAGTGTATAGGAATGTAAGAGATTTCTGTGCATTAATTTTGTATCCTGCTACTTTATCACATTCATTGATTAGTTCTAGTAGTTTTCTGGTAGCATCTTTAGGATTCTCTCTGTATAGTATCATGTCATCTGCAAACAGTGACAGTTTTACTTCTTTTCCGATTTGGATTCCTTTTTCTAGTCTGCTTGCTCTGGCTAAAACTTGCAAAACTATGTTGAATAATAGTGGTGAGAGTGGGCAACCTTGTCTTGTTACTGATCTTAGTGGAAATGGTTTCAGTTTTCACCACTGAGAGCGATATTGGCTGTGGGGTTGTCATATATGGCCTTTATTATGTTGAGGTAGGTTCCCTCTATGCCTACTTTCTGGAGAGTTTTTTTCATAAATGGGTGTTGCATTTTGTAAAAAGCTTTTTCTGCATCTATTTAGATGATCATATGGTTTTTCTCCTTCAAATTGTTAATATGGTATATCACATTGATTTGAGTATATTGAAGAATCCTTACATTCCTGGGATAAACCCCACTTGATCATGGTGTATGATCCTTTTAATATGCTGTTGGATTCTGTTTGCTGGTATATGTTGAGGATTTTTGCATCTATGTTCATCAGTGATATTGGCCTGTAGTTTTCTTTCTTTGTGGCATCTTTGTCTGGTTTTGGTATTAGGGTGATGGTGGCCTCGTAGAATGAGTTTGGGAGTGTTCCTCCCTCTGCTATATTTTGGAAGAGTTTGAGAAGGATAGGTGTTAGCTCTTCTGTAAATGTTGGATAGAATTCGCCTGTGAAGCCATCTGGTCCTGGGCTTTTGTTTGTTGGAAGATTTTTAATCACAGTTTCAATTTCAGTGCTTGTGATCGGTCTGTTTATATGTTCTATTTCTTCCTGGTTCAGTCTCGGAAGGTTGTGCTTTTTTAAGAATTTGTCCATTTCTCCAGGTTGTCCACTTTATTGGCATAGAGTTGCTTGTAGTAATCTCTCATGATCCTTTGTATTTCTGCAGTGTCAGTTGTTACTTCTCCTTTTTCATTTCTAATTCTACTCATTTGAGTCTTCTCCCTTTTTCTCTTGATGAGTCTGGCTAATGGTTTATCAACTTTATTTATCTTCTTTACGAACCAGCTTTTAGTTGTATTGATCTTGCTATTGTTTCCTTCATTTCTTTTTCATTTATTTCTGATATGATCTGTATGATTTCTTTCCTTCTGCTAACTTTGGGGGTTTTTTTTTGTTCTTCTTTCTCTAATTGCTTTTGTTGTAAGGTTAGGTTGTTTATTGGAGAGTTTTCTTGGTTCTTGAGGTAGGATTGTATTGCTGCAAACTTCTCTCTTAGAACTGGTTTTGCTGCATCCCATAGGTTTTTGGTCATCATATTTTCATTGTCATTTGTTTTTAGGTAATGTTTAATTTCCTCTTTGATTTCTTTAGGGATCTCTTGGTTATTTATAGTGTATTGTTTGGCCCCCATGTGTTTGTATTTTTTACAGTTTTTTTCCTGTAATCAATATGTAGTCTCATAGTGTTATGGTCAGAAAAGATACTTGATATGACTTCAATTTTCTTAAATTTACCAAGGCTTCATTTGTGACCCTAGATATGGTCTGTACTGGAGAATGTTCCATGAACACTTGAGAAGAACATGTATTCTGTTGTTTTTGGATGGAATGTCCTATAAATATCAATTAAGTCCATCTTGTTTAATGTGTCATTTAAATCTTGTGTTTCCTTATTTATTTTCATTTTGGATGATCTGTCCATTGGTGAAAGTGGGGTATTAAAGTCCCCTACTATTATTGTGTTACTGTCGATTTCCCCTTTTATGGCTGTTAGCATTTGCCTGATGTATTGAGGTGCTCCTATGTTGGGTGCATAAATATTTACAGTTGTTACATCTTCTTCTTGGACTGTCCCTTGATCATGTAGTGTCCTTCTTTGTCTCTTGTAATAGTCTTTATTTTAAAGTCTATTTTGTCTGATATGAGAATTGGTACTCCAGCTTTCTTTTGATTTCCATTTGCATGGAATATATTTTTCCATCCCCTCACTTTCAGTCTGTATGTGTCCCTAGGTCTGAAGTGGGTGTCTTGTAGACAGCATATATATGGGTCTTGTTTTTGTATACATTCAGCCAGTGTATGTCTTTCGGTTGGAGCATTTAATCCATTTACAGTTAAGGTAATTATCGATATGTATGTTCCTATTCCCATTTTCTTAATTGTTTTGGGTTTGTTATTGGAGGTCTTTTCCTTCACTCGTGTTTCCTGCCTCGAGAAGTTCCTTTAGCATTTGTTGTAAAGTTGGTTTGGTGGTGCTGAATTCTCTTAGCTTTTGGTTTTCTGTAAAGGTTTTAAGTTCTCCTTCAAATCTGAATGAGATCCTTGCCAGGTAGAGTAATCTTGGTTGTAGGTTTTTCCCTTTCATCAGTTTAAATATGTCCTACCACTCCCTTCTGGCTTGCAGGGTTTCTGCTGAAGGTTCAGCTGTTAACCTTATGGGGATTCCCTTGTATGTTATTTGTTGCTTTTCTCTTGTTGCTTTTAATATTTTTTCTTTGTATTTAATTTTTGATAGTTTGATTAATATGTGTCTTGGAGTGTTTTTTCTTGGATTTATCCTGTATGGGACTCTCCACTTCCTGGACTTGATTGACTATTTCCTTTCCTATGTTAGGGAAGTTTTCAGCCATAGTCTCTTCAAGTCTTTTCTCAGACCCTTTCTTTTTCTCGTTTTCTTCTGGGACCCCTATAATTTGAATGTTGGTGTGTTTAATGTTGTCCCAGAGGTCTCTGAGATTGTCCTCAGTTCTTTTCAATCCTTTTTCTTTATTCTGCTCTGAGGTAGTTATTTCCACTATTTTATTTTCTGGGTCACTTATCCGTTCTCCTGTCTCAGTTATTCTGCTATTGATTCCTTCTAGAGAATTTTTAATTTCATTTATTGTTTTGTTCATCATTGTTTGTTTGCTCTTTAGTTCTAGTCCTTGTTAAATGTTTCTTGTATTTTCTCCATTCTGTTTCCAAGATTTTGGATCATGTTTACTATCATAACTCTGAATTCTTTTTCAGGTGGACTGCCTAGTTCCTCTTCATTTGTTTTGTCTGGTGGGTTTTTACCTTGCTCCTTCATCTGCTGCATATTTCTCTGTCTTCTCATTTGTTTAACTTACTGTGTTGTGGTCTCCTTTTTGCAGGCTGCAGGTTCATAGTTCCCGTTGTTTCTGGTGTCTGCCCCCTGTGGGTGAGGTTGGTTCATTGTTTGTGTAGGCTTCCTGGTGGAGGGGACTGGTTCTTGTGTTCTGGTGGGTGGGGCTGGATCTTATCTTTCTGGTGGGCAGGGCCACGTCCGGTGGTGTGTTTTGGGATGTCTGTGAACTTAGTATGATTTTAGGCAGCCTCTCTGCTAATGGTGGGGTTGTGTTCCTGTCGTGGTAGTTGTTTGGCATGGGGTGTGCAGGACTGGAGCTTGCTGACTCTTGGGTGGAGCTGGGTCTTAGCATTGAGATTGGAGATCTCTGGGAGAGCTCTCGCCAATTGATATTACATGTGGCTGGGAGGTCTCTGGTGGTCCAATGTCCTGAACTCAGCTCTCCCAGCTGAACTCAGCTCTCCCACCTGACACCAGGATTGAGCTCCAAGACCCTGTCAACCACACGGCTGCTGTATTATTTAGGGTTCCACTAGGAAACAGCATGCTTAGCTGGGACTTTGAGGAAAAGGCAGTGAAGGTACTATTTCAGGAATGTGGAAGGAAACAGCAAGGAATATTGAGGCACCCACGGACTAGCAGCCATGCCTACACATTTCCTGACTCACTCCATCTTCATTTTTTCTCCATTCTTGCTGCTATCACACATCTATTTTTTGTTTCTGCTGGGTCACTCGTCACTCTTTTTACAGTTGAATTTTATTAAATTGGAGAAATATTTTATCCTTTGCAGAGTCTCAGTTTCTCCATCCAGATGATGGAATGGATAATATCCTCTTCTCAGATTTGGATGAGGATTTAGATAGCATATTTTTAATGGACCTGACACTCTACATCTCCTCCCTTGTGTCAGCCAGTACTCTCAGTACTAATAAAACTTTTTTAGCTTAGCTATGAAAGGCAATTTCATTTGTGCTATGTGACTCAAGGGTGGAAGACAGAGGTGCACGGTGCTAGCCGGAAGCCAGGCAGAATCCTGAAGTCAGATTGCTCCCATGTGAAGTCAGTTGGAGCCCATGCAGAACCAGAACCACAGACAGCTGAGGGCAAAAGGCTCTGATGTGGTGATTAAGAGGTGTGTGATCAAGGTATCTCTCCAGATAGGGAGGATATATATTGCTCTTTATCCTGTCCTACATATGAATGTCTACCTTACTTGGATCTTAGACTCTCACCCTCAGTATCCAGTTTGCACCATTGTCATTACCTATGAAATAACTCAGTTTCATTCTCGGCAGTCCCACCCCTTTGGCCCACAGCTTAGGTGTTCATAGTCTCTTGCCTGTACTGTCCTCATTGGTCTCTCTGATTTCAGTGTCTTTTCCCTCCAATCCATCTTCAACACAGGCATCAGATTGATTTTTCAAAAACATATCTGATCATGTTATTCTTTTGCTTAAGAACCTTCACTGTGTACTATTTTCTTATCCGTAGTCCTTCAAAGTCGACTACAAGCCTTCTTTTTTGTATTCTTCCCATACTTCTCTTCTCCGTGAAACCTTTGCTCTTGTCACCCTGAACGATTTCCCAAACACACCATCCAGTTTCATGCCTCCCTGCTTAGAATGCCCTGTCATTTATTTTTAATTTCAAGGAATGCAAGTTGATCTCAATACTATACTTCTGTGAAGCTTTCACCAATTTTTCCTCACAGACTTTCTATATGTATTTGGATAGAGCTCCACTCTACACTTACCACATTGTATTTTAATTATGTTTTGTTTTCTCCACTAGACTCTGAGCTTTATGGCCTTTTGGTATTCCTAATATAGAGCATGATCTGATACTTAATTCCTGTTCAGTAAATATTTGTTAAAATTATTTGTCAAAAAATGAGTTTAAAATGGTCATTTTGAGAACTAATAAAGGACTCCATTTGGTATCCTTTATGTCTTTTTTTTTTTCTTTTTTTTTTTTTTTTTTTTTTCTTTAGCTGTACGCGGTCCTCTCACTGTTGTGGCCTCTCCCTTTGTGGAACACAGGCTCTGGACACACAGGCTCAGCAGCCATGGCTCATGGGCCCAGCCGCTCCGCGGCATGTGGAATCTTCCTGGACCGGGGCACAAACCTGTGTCCCCTGCATCAGCAGGCGGACTCTCCACCACTGCGCCACCAGGGAAGCCCCAGTATCCTTTATTTCTATGTGGCTAGATTTTTGTACCTCATGTTTTCTTTTAAAAATACCCCCTTTATATTTATAATTGCTTTTTTGATTAATGTGGAAGAGAATACTTTGTACATCCTGAACTCAAGTTTGAATAAAATATACTGTTGTTTTTGATAGAATTACGTACATCCCTGGAAGAACATCAGTCTGCCTTGGAACTTATAATGAGCAAGTATCGAGAGCAAATGTTTAGATTGCTAATGGCTAGCAAAAAAGATGATCCAGGGATAATAATGAAGTTAAAAGAGCAGCACACCAAGGTAATCCTTTCTGTAAATATAATTTGAAACAGAAAAGAAGGACAATTGGTTAACTTGTGTTCAGATTTTTAAAAACTCATAGGAATCTTACTTACATGATATTGAATACTTCTCTTTTTGACATTTTCTTCTCCTTATTTTTTTCATGTTATGTGTCATTTTCTGTTTGATGTACTCTTCTAACTCCCATTCTTCCCTAGTAGCTTTAATATATATTAAAAAATAAACTTTATTTGGGAAATAAAGGTAAGTCTGTTCAATTCAAAATTATTTTTTAAGGTTATCTGCTTGTAAGAAATACTTCTTTTAATTTGTGTATTGATATCTCTTGCAAAAATTAAAATTAAATGCTTAAAACTTTTTTAAAAATCTGAAAACAGCTAAAGGTAGATTTGTTTTTCTTAAGACTATTTTCTGAATGAGGTTAATTCATCCAGACTATAGATACTCCTGATTATTAATGGAAGTGCCATGGTGGGGGGGAGAGGAAATATATATATCAAATATATGTATATATTTATGTATATATAAAATATATTGCCTCCCCACCCCCTCCTCCATCACATATCACTTAATATCATTTCTAGAGACAGAGCTGAACTAATAGAAATTAGTGTTTTTCCTGCTGTTCATCATACTCATTCTGATCCCTGTGTTTACTAGCAACTGTTTTGAAAACAGGTAGAATAGTTCTTTTCCGTTTATGTTTTATTTTAAACTGATTTTTAACTGCTGGTGTGAAATAAAAATATTAGAATAGGTTGTGACTACTAGGCCATTATCTGTATTGGATAATGGTGAACTATTAGTTATAACTAATATTATTTAAGAAATATTCATATAACATTTTTATCTTTCTCGATTATTGAAACACTTTTTAGATTCCTTAAAATGTTATATTTCTTCCATCTTGGTGCTTGTAGGTATTTTAAAATTATTAATTCTATTAAAATTAAATACCTAGTGAATTGCTTTAATATGTAAATTCAACTCTACATATTAAGGAGGTTAGTAATCGACAGCTCTTGTATCAAATAGTAAAATAGTAAAAATAAATGTGGCTTTAATATTATCTAATTATGTTATTCATCTCCTATCCAAAAGGAAACCTTGGATAGTTAAATGGCAATCTTTTGACTATAAACTGTATCTATTAATGAGATCATTATAAAAAGTTTAATTTTAAATATATAATTTAAGAGGTTTTTTTAAGGTACAAATATGAACTGACTTAAAATGATTGGTAAGAATGTCTTGAGACATTCCAAAAGGCCCTTTTGTTTAACAACTTAGATTTTTTAAGATCTAAAGAGAATGCTCTGGCAAACTAGTGCTTAAGAATAAGATACTGAAGCTAGCTAGTCTCTTGTGGTAGCAGCTATGTCAGAAGCAAATGTTTTCTAAAACACATTAGAGTTTACCACTCATCACAGCTGTTTTATTAATTAGCAAAGTTAAACATTTCTTAAGATAGCTGTAAATCATCCTTTTTCAATTATGTCAATTGAATTCTTCATCTAAGTGCTGATTCTTGCCTTCCATGAAATGACAGTTCAGTTACTTGTTATTAATTCTCACTAATACATATTAATGTTTGTGATTTTGATTTTTCCCAAAAAGGAGACACTTTGATTCAAACAGATATTTATTAACAAAAAGGAGACACTTTGATTCAAACAGATATTTATTAATACTTGCACTGGCTTAGTTGTTATTAATAATAAGATGAATAAATAAGTTTATTACTCTACCATAGAAGCTTTCAGTGTATTGGGAGATACAGACACAAACATGATTATATAATATAAGGTAGGATGTGATGAATCCTAAAATAGAGATCTGAATTATTACTGGAATACTAGAGGAAGCAAGATTAGTTCTCATGAGGAGAATCTGGGAAAGTGGCAAGGAAAGGTAGCAAATCCATCTAAATCTAGCCTTGAATTAATTATTGGGGTCAACAAGCAGAAGTGGATGAGCAGAGAAACTTGTATGATAAATATGAGCTTCCAAGATATGTTTAGGTACTAGTGCTCTGATATGCCTAAACACAAAAATAATTTTATAACACATTTAGGGGTAATAAACAAAGTTACACGTAACAGCATTTTGGAGTAAGAGAACCTTTTGAGACTAGTGTAACATAGAATTTTGTCCTCACCTAGAAGTTTTTGAGCACACATTTAAAAACCAATAAAAAGTTTGAGGAGAACTCATTTTCATTCAAATACTCATTTTTACATTATTTTTGAACTGCTACCTTTTTGGAAATCTTAAAAAAACAAACATTTCAAACAGTTGGCTAACACGCATGAACTAACACTCATTCAGTTTTTAAATTACGGATAATATCCGTATTAACATTATAATGACTCTGTACTACAGATTGACATGGTGCATCGTAACAACTCCGAAGGATTCTTCCTTGATGCATCTCGACACATCCTTGAAGCACCTCAACATGGACTGCAGAGGAGGCACTTGGAAGCAAATCAGAATGTACACTAAATAAAACAGTCAGCTTTTGGGGTGTGGATGGAAGGGGAGTCGATTTAAAAAGTTCTTTTACATTGAATTCTCCTCCCAAATTAAATCAGCAAATAAATGAAATTGCTTTTAAAAACGCTGTGCTTTTCATAGCCTTGCAAAAATACTCAGTATAGAAACTTTAAGTCTGTCATCAGTTCTCTGTGTATTGTATTATACATAGCCTGTTAGATAATTGCAGGCTTTAAAGGTTCTTTGGGCCAGCCTTTCATGTTATTGTTCTTGTTAGCTATAGATGCAAAATTTTAGTAAGCTTCAAACGGTCATCCTCTTGCTGGACATCAAAGATGTTTTCTTGGTAATAATTTTAATCTGATTTTCTAAAAATTTTGTTCAATCAAACTATTAAATGAACTGTTTTAATTCAGATTTTCGATAGTTATAGTCCTTTAGTTTGAGTTCACAATAAAATTGCCTTTGTTTAGGTGTTATTAAGTATAGTAGTATACCCTCTCCATTGTGTCTATTGTGTTTTAACTGCCTTTTTTTCTTGAAAGGCATTTCAAGACAGTGCAAGGTTTATGTTGCTAGCACTTCTTGCCTTTAAGACAGTTTTGAAAGCACAGGTCTTGCCTTCTTGTGCCTATTAAGAGATCGTGACACTTCCCTGAAGATTTTATTGTAATAAGTGAACCACCCAGGAGCCAGACCTATAAAAATACACTTCTGTTTGAAGTATTGGGGTTTTTTTTCTTACGATGATTTTATTAAAACAGACTGTCCTGAAAAAATTAGTAGTTTCTTGTCTTCTTTCGTTTTAAAGGCAAGTAATTATCTGCTTCCTTGTAGTCTTTTAACCTAGGTCAGTGCCATAAGACACCAAATCATAAGCTGAGAAAGCTGTTGGTATTCAAAATTTTTACTCATTACCCTTATTCACTTTGCTGCTGCAGTTATCTATACTTAACTTGCTTTTAAACATTAGGCTCCCTTTACAGTGGGAGGGATTGTAATCATTTTTTTTAAACTACTACAGAATACGACAGATGTTTGTCTTGATATCATTCTTGCTATCATAATCTAATCCAGAGCTGTCCAATAGAACTTTCTGCAATGATGGAAATGTTCTGTATCTATGCTGTTCAATATGGAAGCCACCAGCCACATGTGGCTTTTAAGTACTTGATGTGTGACTAGTGCAACTGAGGGGCTGAATTGTTAATTTCTTAAAATTGTATTTGACTTCAAGTAATTTAAATTTAAATAGTGCCATACTGGACAGCGTAATCTTTTATTTTGACTTCTTCCTACGTACTAGCTTTTTATAGATTGTGTTAAAATAATATAAGGATCTGTATTTTTGTTGGTTAAGAAGATATTAAATGTGAGGTTTGCTAAAGATATTCCTATTCTCTATTATATTCCTTCCATAGTTTACTAGTTTTGTAGGTTTTGGGGGGGTCTTGTTCAAATCCTTTTTACAAACAGAGTACATACAACTATTTAAGAGACAATGTTTATTTGGGGAGCTATTAACTTTTATATTTAAGTTTTGTCCTTAGTATAACAAAATGACCCTCAATTGCTAGTGAACAATGGTCTATAGAAGTTGTTCATTTAAAAAAGTATTATTCTCATGTTTCTGTTGATTATAAACCTTTTGTCTGTCTGTTTCATTGACTGTAAGCTCCTTGAAATCAGGGAACATTTCTTAACAGGCTTCATATTCCTGTCACCTAGCACAGTGCCTGGCTCATCATAGGTATGCAAAAAAGAATAAGAGAATGAGATTGGAAGAAATTTATGCTACTTGCTGTGCCAAACAAATGTGGATGTCTATTTTATACTAAAATTATATTTTGAACAGTTTGCAAAGGCCATTTAATATTCAATACTTTAAAGAACTCTGTTCATTTTACTCAATACTTATTATCTATTATGTACCTAACATTAAATAGTAGGCAAATATAAGCAATATACAGTTCCTGCTCTCAATGAGGATTATAATCTAGAAAAGGTTCTGGATTGAACTGGGATGAATTTTTAGGCATGGAAAATACAGAAAATATTTTTAAATCATGAAGACTTCAGTGAGGAAAAGAGATTGAATGCTTATCTTTCCCATTACTTTGGTCAATGGGGTATGTAGGTGCAGAAAAGAAAAAGTTGCTGGTCATTTGTGGTGAGAGGAATGTGAAATGAGTATTTTTCCTGTTTATGGGTTTAGATATACTGTGCTGCTTATCCTTAATCCTAGTCCTAACAGAAATCTGACTTCAAAAGCACATTCATGGTCAGTCAACTTTCTTGTAAATATGTTTGATATATTACGTTTATGTTAAATGGCAATGTAAAGATATTACATTCATATTAAGTGGCAATGCAGATTTTATAAAAAGGGGAGGATCCAAAAATTTTTTAAAAAGTATTTCACTGATTCACAACTTCCATCTCTTTTTTTTCAGGAATTACAAGCACATGTTGACCAGATAACTGAAATGGCAGCAGTAATGAGGAAAGCCATTGAAATTGACGAGCAACAGGGTTGCAGGGAACAGGAACGAATATTTCAACTTGAGGTAAGTTTTAAATTGCACATGTAGGTGAAAACTGTCCATACAAAGATTTATGCCAGAAAATAAATCCCACTTTAAAATATATACTTTCTGGGGACTTCCCTGGCGGTCCAGTGGTTAAGACTTCACCTTCCATGCAGGGGGTGCGGGTTTGATCCCTGGTCAGGGAGCTAAGATCCCACATGCCTCGTGGCCAAAAGAACCAAAACATAAAAAAAACAGAAGCAATATTGTAACAAATTCAATAAAGACTTTAAAAATGGTCCCAAAAAACTTAAAAAAATAATATATGTATATATATGTATATATATACACACACACACTTTCTGGGATACTAGTAATGTTCTTTTTCCTAGTCTGGATACTGGTTATATGGGTGTATAATGCAAGACCATTTATATAGTAATGCAAGAGTCTAGGATCAATAGTAAACTTATACCAGTAATTGAGAAAATTGATTTTTTTTTGATCCTGTGTCTCTTCTGTTATTAGGTGAATATACTTCTTCAGCTTAGTAATTTTTTTTAATATCTTTGTTTTATTAGAGGTCACAGTGGTGCAGGGAGAAATGTTTTCAGTCCACAAATCATATTCTTTGGCCACTTGTATTTTTCTGGGGAATATAAAAGCTTTTATCGCATCTGTCCTTTATTTTGTGGTAGCAAAAGCACAAGTCATTGTTGAATAACTGAAATCAGTAGAGTAGACCTTTATACTTTTAAAACCTTTATTTTGAAATCATGGTGGAGAAATTGGTTATAGAGAGCCCAAAATGATTTCTCTAAGTGTACAAAGTTCTTTCATTCTTTATAACAAAGGTAAGCAAACTTTTTCAGTAAAATGCCAGATAGTAAATCTTTTAAGCTTTGCAAACAGGCAGTCTCTGTTGTAGCTACTCACCTCTGGCATTGTAATGAAAAAGCAGCTATACACACAAAAAATAAGATGGAACTCAACTGTGTTCCAGTAAAGTTTAATTTACAATAACAGGCCTCACTCAAGCCAGGCCATAGTTTGCTGATCTCTGCTTTATTTATACCACTGAAACTTAGAAAGTAAGACCAAAAGACAAAGCAGTAGAGAATAAATTATGAGAGTTATTTGTAAATGTCTAAAAATTCCTTGCAGTAACTAATCTAGAAGAAAAAGGCAAAGGCAAAGTTGTTTACCAGTGCTAGATTTGGTCACTTAACTTTCCTTCTAAGAAATATCACTTTCTATTCAGTCAGCCCTGCTGCTGTTAAATTCCAGTGAGGGAAGCAAACCAGGGCTTGCCCTGCATTCCATGCTATCATGGAAATAATAAAATTACTAAAGTACTGAGAGCTTTTAGCCCCAGGGTATTATTCATACTTTCTGAGTTTACACAAATATAAATCTAGGTGTTATTTTCTTACTGTGATTTTCTATACTGTGATTATAAAATAAGGCTGTTTCTGAGGTTCTGTCTACAGTTACAGCTGCATAAATAAAAAGGCTTTTCAGTGGTGGAAGACATTGAATACATGATTCCTACCTCTTTAAAAAAGTGTTCTGTGGATTCAAGTTGTCAACTTCAGCTGCATATATCATTTAATACATTTCTGCCAATTATAGTACTTGCTTTTTATTTATCATACCTTCATATGTTTGGCTTTTCTTAAGATAATGTTTGTACTCTTGTAGCCACCTTGGTGACTGCTTCTTTGTTTTTGTGCTTTCTTATAGCAAGAAAATAAAGGCTTGAGAGAGATCCTTCAAATAACTCGAGAATCATTTTTGAATCTTAGAAAAGATGATGTGTCGGAAAGTACATCTTTGTCAGCATTAGTGACCAACAGTGACCTGAGTCTGAGGAAGAGCTGAATAGCTTTTAAGTCTGTGAATGAATTAACAGAAAAATCCATCTCAAGCTGCCCTTTGTTTTATTTCTTTATAGTATGTACAGTGCACTGGCAATGACATTTTTAAAAGACAGCAACAAGAAAATGCATAGTTAATGGTCATAGACGTTATTCCAAACTATAATTGAAAAATAGAAACTAAGCCTTTGTTAACTGGTGAACAAGTTAAAGATTTTCACAGTGACTGCTGAATGTATCAAGAGCTTTCAGCAGTGCTGTTGGCTTTCTGGTTGACACTTGGATAAACGTGAATATGCTCAACAAGTGTCTGGGAATTAATAGAAACATCCCAATTTTAAAATACAGATTTTGCCACAGTATTGTGAATGGAAAATCGTCATACTAAATTATATCCTCCCTGTATGGTGAAAGTTAACAAGTAGCTTACGTACCAGGAGACTTCAGCTTTAATGATTGCCTATCTACCTTCTCATTAATTTAAATTTTTGTCAAAGAAAGTTCAGTTTGAAAGACTTGCAGTGTTTTATATGCACCATAAATAAAAGAGGTAATTTAATTTTAGCTAATTTATCCTAATTAATACTAACAGTTGTCCGTGATTTGCTTATGTATATGAAATATTTCAGGAATGAAAGAGAAGGAACACTGCTTTCTAAGAAAGAAGAGCTTATAAGAGACATATTTAGTAGGTTAAACTACTTTGAAAGAATAAGTTTTGGTTCTAAATCAGTAACGAAGATGAGATTTTTCTCTTCTCTGGTTGATCTTTAAGGATATTATGTAGTTCATTTAGCTACCAGTTGAAATGTTTGATATAGCGAGATAAGTATGGTAATTTCAAAGTAAATTGGGAATTCCTCTGCCTCAAAACCTTTTTTTTTTCCTTAAGTAATTACGCTTAAGACATATAGAAACAGTAAGTTAAAATTAAAAAAAAAATTCTTTTCTAGATCTATTCTTAAGTTCCATCTGGTTCTCATAACCTACAAGATGTTTCTTGTAACCTTTCAGTCAAAGGGCTAGGGGGCGGTGAGGGGGAAATCTGGATTTATAAGTATTTGTTTTATTTTTTACAGAATATATATCCAGTATATAAATTTTAAAAAGCTGCTAGAAATAGAAATGTGCTTTAACATCAGTTGAAATCTAAATTTTTCATGTTTTGTCGTGATTATAGAAGAAAAGGTAAGAGTGTCAAATATGATTATTAAATATACTGTACTCACATTAAATATATATTAAAAATAGCACAATAGAAAATTCTACTTTGGAGTATATAATTTGTTAAAGTAATATTTACATGCTAACTTTTATGTATAATTTCATATATTGGTAAATTTCAAAACTACTTTTCACTTCGGAATTTTTTATCTTAAGTTTGGGGTAAGTGGGGTTGATGAGACTGATTGAATAGAAAAGGGCTAATGGCCCAAACATTAAATAGATTCCTTTTCTCATTCAGAGGCCTTAATTGTTATTTGATAAACAAGTGACAGTTTTTATTTTTAAGCTTTTCTATTGGTTTTGGGGAAAGTATCCTTTAATTTGATGGCACATTCATTCATAGAGTTTTTATCCCAAGTCAGAATTGAAATAAGCTACACAATTGAGAGTAAGTCTGAGGCAATTCATTGGGGCAGCTCTATTATAAAACATTACTTGATAAATAATTATTTTTGTAAACAAATAAGTTGAGTTAATTTATTCTTGGTCTTCTTACTTGGATATTATTTTAAGAACTTGGTGTTTAAAGACATTTATGTTATTATATAGCAAGTGTTCTAGCCCATACTTTTTTTTTTTAAGCAGAACCTTAAAATTTATGTCTGAGAATACGTACTACTAGGAACCTATTTTATCAGTAAAGATGAGCGATTAAAATTGGTATGGTCTCCAAGTTTATTTTTTCTTACCAGAAACTTAGTACTTAGCAACAGCTTCTATCTGTATTTCTTAGGAATTGGCCAGCAACTTATTGCTGACTTGGCAGACCTTTTGATCATCTGTGGTGGGTTTAATAGTGTCCCCCAGAAGTATGCCCAGGTCCTAACCTGTTGTACGTGTGGTTGACAGCATATTTGCAGATAGAGTCTTTGCAGATTTAAGGATCTCAGGATAAGATCATTCTGGATTTAGTATGGGCCCCAAATCCAATGACTGTTGTCCTTATAGGAAAGGGGGAGATTTGAATCACACAAGGAGAAAGTCATGTGAAGACAGAGGCAGAGGGTTATGCAAATCAAGGAGCCCTAAGGTTTATGAGGTGCCATCAGAAGCTAGGAGAGATGCATGGAATGACCTCGGCTCCCTCAGAGCCTCCAGAAGGGACCAGCCCTGCTTGATTTCAGACTTCTGGCCTGTCAAACCAAAGGCTGATGTGAGAGCAAGTGAATGAATTTCTCAAATACTAACTTCCCCTAGAATATGTTCATTTTAAGACCTGCCTCAGTGATTATAAGGTTTTTGTTCCTAGCTCATGCAGACTCTAGCATATATAGAATACAAGAGCTGAAAACCATCTCTATTCAGTAGAAAGAAAATCACTGGTATCTATCATTGAAGGGATTCAGGAGGGAGAGCTGGTTTGGAAGAAAGCTTGAGTAGCTCTACTTGTGGAACGGGAAGTTGTCCTCTGTTGGAAAAACCTTCCGACATTAATAAGCAAAATGAGAGAGTGCATTTTTTGTTTTCTTTTTCAGAGAAAGGCCTTCAATCCCATCCCTGAACTTAGTCCCCTAAAACAGCGGTCCCCAACCTTTTTGGCACCAGGGACCGGTTTCGTGGAAGACAGTTTTTCCATGGACGGCGGGGGTGTCGGGTGGGGGGCTGGTGTCAGGATGATTCAAGCGCGTTACTTTTATCGTGCACTTTATTTCTAGTCCCATTACATTGTAATATATAATGAGATAATTATACAACTCACATCATGCAGAATCAGTGGGAGCCCTGAGCTTGTTTTCCTGCAACTAGATGGTCCCATCTGGGGGGAATGGGAGACAGTGACACCCAAGTGTGCTGCTTATGTTCAGTCTACTCCGTGATCTTGCTTTGGTCGCCGTCACTGCAGAAAACCCTGCTTCATAAAGATAGGATGTTGGAAATGGAAGCAGGCTTTTCAGTGCTTTTGTGACAATCTCAGGATATTCCACCTTGACTTTAATCCAGAACGTATGGAGATTTGAAGTTGTCTCAAACATACTTTTAAGGCCACCGTCACTTGCGATCTCAAGCAGTTGATCCTCTTCTAGCACAGACAAAGTCGATTCACCTGGCTTACTCACAAATGGGTCGCGGATCCATTCCTTCCCAGTTCGGGCTTTTGTGGTTAAGAAGTAATGCTCAAACTCTTTTGAAAGCTGAGACAGGTGATCATGCCCCAGCTGGGAGAAAGAAGGCCCTGGCTCAGTCTCTTTCAAAATCTCTGCTAATGTTTGAAACATGTCAAAAATCCCAATGTTCACTTGTCGCCCCCATAATTCCAGTTTGGCTTTGAATGCAGCCACTTTTATCTGCCGACTTGAACACAGTTGTCGTTCTCCCCTGAAGTGACATTGCGTTCGTTGAGCAGGTTGAATATGTCACACGAGTAAGCAAGTTTTGCGACCCATTCTGTGTCACTGAAATGTGCTGCCAGCAGTGACTTTTTCTCTAAAAGTAATCTCTGGAGCGGCTCTTGTAAAAAAAACTCTGGCCAGTAATCTACCTCTAGAAAGCCATCTCACTTCTGTGTATCGGAGAAGATGTGTGTGCCCCAAACCCATCTTCTCACAGAGCTGCGTGGACATGAATTAAGGGCATGTACTTTAATGTGGTTGATAATTTTAATCACATCCTGCAAAACACTGTTCAGGTGACATTTTTCTATGGATGACATTTCTCTATGGATGACACAGTGCATAGACTCACATTCAGAAGCGACCTCTTTGACCTGAGTAGTGAAACCAGAAAGCCATCCAGTCATGGCAGCCGCTCTGTCTGTGCATATCCTGAAACAAAGTGACCAATTCAGTTTTCCTGATATGTAATCAATCATTCAAAGACTTGAATAGTTCTGCAGCTGTGGTGTTGGCTGGCAACAAAAGTGCACATAACATACCTCATGCACATCCTCCTGAAAAATATATTGCACAAAGGCGAGTATTGTTGCCTTGTTTTCAACATCGGTAGACTCATCAACCTGGAGTACCATGGTGACTCATTAATCCTCTCTAACAACTGGGCCTTAATATCCTCTGCTGTTTCATCAATTCGTCTACTTATGGTGCTAGCCGAAAGAGGAACACGTGCCACCTTCTGAACTGCAGCCTCTCCTAAAAGTTCACGACAAATGTCCTTAGCAGCAGGCAGGGTCAACTCTTCAACAATAGTAAAGGGCTTCTCAGCTTTAGCAATGCGGTTAGCCACTAAGAATGATGCTCTCAGTGCAGACACATTTGAGGAAGTGGTGGCCTTCAGTAATTGCTTCTGTTCTTTGTGTTCATGGCTTCTTTTTGAGAAACTCCAAAGGCTTGTCTTTTAATGCAGGGTGCTTGGTCTCCACGTGGTGAAGCCGTTTTGAAGGTTCCATGGCTTCGTTGGATAGCTGGTCGCCACATATTATACAAAGCGGGCTTGGAGAATGTGAATCACCTGTTGCAGTGAACCCGTGATTTAAGTAGGACTCTTGGTATTTTCTTTTAAATGCAGCTTTCTTTTTGTTGGCAGTCTTGGAGTCTTCTGCTGTCTCATCATTGGGTCTTTCCCCTTTTCAAAGAAGCTCTCCAGCGATGTTTGTTTTTTACTCATTTTGGCTAGGGTTCGCTTGTGGGCTTACCAAAACTGTGACTGAGACAAGTGCACAGTGCAGGAAAGAGGCACAGACGGAAGTGGTAAATAAAATAATGGGTGGGCCACGCACGGACTAAAATACGTGTCGGATTCTGACAGAAAGCCTGCCACCAGATGCAGCTTAATTGTCACTTGCCACTCATTGATAGGGTTCTGAAATGAGCCTGCAAGCAA